TTTGTAACAATTCATCAAACAATCAACTACATGTCTCCTCTATAATAAATAAAAAGAAAGAATATTGATTGCCAATCCAAATTATGGGAAACTGTAGCTCTATTAAGTTTGTCTCAGAATTTATTGGTTTTCTCTTTTTCCCCATAATTTCTTCTCATAGACTGTTCATACGACCAAGTGTACTAAAGTTATTATTACTATTACTATATTAGTATCCATCATCTTGGCTTTCTATAAAGTTGGTGGTAAATAATTTTGGGTTAGTAGTATGATAAAAAACTAAAACATGGCAGAAAAGAAGGTGTTCATTTGTAAAACTCGTACTAACATTTTTGGGGCGAGCCTGTCATCTTTATTTATTTTTTGCACTCATTTTTCTTCTGTAAATCAATCTAAATTTTAAATTAAAATGAGGGTTTATTTTTCAGATCTTTGCCATCGGACTCTTCATTACGAAGCAGCCAGGATTCAGCACAGGACTTCCCTACAAGAAAAATAGGTTTGCTTGGTCGACCATTTGGGTTTGGCTGGCGTGATAAAAACAAGGTTACTACCTAATTTCCTCTTACTTTTTTATAGATGTTTATTCTCCTCCTTGAAGTATCTAATCTTCATTTACTACAAATTTATAGACTTGTAAAAAGTTGCAAATTGAAGACTATTTCGTTCTCTAATAATATTCCCATATTTTACGAAATCCCTTGATTAACTTCAACCGTAAATTTAAATACTAAAATTTTTCTTATTCAATTTTCATACATCTTTTAAAAATAAGAAAATAAAAGTAGAGATGTTATCTTTAATTCTAAAAATGTAAAATGAAATGAAATAAAATACATAATTCACAACTTTCTCTCTCAGTAAACTGCTTTCATTAAGAAGAGAAAGGATACAAAAACACAGGCCACCACCAAACACAGGAGCTGCCAAAATGTAATTACAAGGAAAGGATAATAATTGTTGGTAATCAAAGAAAAATTCTTTTTGGTTGATAGACTGTTGTATAAAAATAAGTGCAGAAGAAAGGGCTGGGAAAGAGAGAATGTTTACCCGAATGAGCTGCAAAGGAAGAGCCTTTTGGGTCAAGGTTGATCGTAAGACTATGATTACAAAAGAATAAATAGTTTTTTCCTTGGAGTTCTACATGAAGATGCTAACTTATACTACTTAAAAAAAAAGATGTTCTTTTTTTTTTTCTTTCTTTAATCTCATTTCTCCCTTCCCAAATAAGCCACATAATAACTTATGAAGATAATTCCTAAGAACCCAAGCTTTATCCTACCAGCCTGTGAGGGCTTCTGATAGCCAGGCATCAATAAGTTCAGGTGTTTTTTTAGACAAAAGAGGACATAGTTATTGGGGAATATCTTTAGGAGCTTCCCTTGAATGTTCAAGGCAAGGGACCATAGAAACATCTTAACCTTCTTGGGGACTAACTCCAAATTTTGTTGAAGGACGTAGTCTTTAGCTTGGCTCAGGTCTCCGTAAGCTTGAGCAAATCTGATTATTAGTGAATGGATCTAATGGATGAAACGACTGAACCACCTCGCCTTGGCTAGCTCCTAATTGAACAAAATCTCTGAAAGGGCACTCAGCTGCCAATTTCTCTATCAAAAAGAAGACCTCTTTTGATATCCAACCTCTATTCTCGTTTTTTTAATAAGAAATCGAGCTTTCATTGAAAAATGAAAGAATGTAAAAGCTCGTTCTGATTAGTCCTTGCCATATACTTGACTTCTTCTTTTTGTAATCTTTATGATATTGACTTTGTCGTGTGAATTAGGCATCAAGTTCTTCAATGAGTTGTTTGGAGAAGACAATTTTTTTAATGACATACTTCATATTCAAAATAGGTCATGGGGTGCACAACTGAGGCCCCACCCTTAATAATATCCTTTGTTATCTGCTCTTTGAACTTAAACTTTCTTATTGCCGGACTATCAATTTAATTCTTTCCAATTATTATTTTGGTAGATGAATAGACTCTATAACTAGTTTTACCCAACTGCAAATGTGTATTGGTATGCATGTATGTTCATATCTGTGGACTCGACGCAATGAAAAGTAATTCTCCTTTAGTTATCTTCAAACCTAATGATCTAATGTCGTGCCCGCTCCATGCCCCACAGGGAAAACCATCCAATCTTGAGGACCCAAATGATGGAAGCAAGACTACCGAGGAGGAAACTACAATCCAGAAAAAAACTACTGAAGAAGAGGCACAAAATCCAGGCGTTGAGGAGAAACTCACCAACGTCCACCACGACAAGGAGTAAAACTCGCATTTTGAAAATGGTACTCGTAGTATATACAAATTCCAATTCACCATTATCTTGAAGTCGCATTTTCTATATCTGTATATCAATTCAAGCAATAGTTTTCAAGGTTCGTTTCTCTCCGTTTGTTAATTAAGCATAGAAATAAATATCAGGTAGAACCTATTTTTTGGTTGATTCTTTGTTTGTTGGTTATGTTATAGGATAATAATTGTTTAATCTTTGTATCAAAAATCTTGTCATGACTCCTATTTAGTAACTGCCTTTTGAATTAGGCCTTCATGGACATAAATTTCTTACTTCTTTCTTTAGCTTGCACGCATATAGGAGAATTCCACGGGACTACCACTTGATCATACTATATTTGGTTGTCAAGAAACTATTACATTCTAGGTAGGTGGTAATCCTGGATTGAACTAGTTCTCCCTAAATCTTCTATTATTATTATGGTTATAGGTCTCCCTAAATCTTCTATTATTATTATGGTTATAGGTTCGCCTTTGATGGTTAAAATGATTTTACTCCAGATTAGTAGATTAGAGAGATTGAGTTTAAGACAATGTGTCTACTTGGAATTGAATATTCTATGAGTTACCTTGACAGCCTAATGTAGTAGAAGAGGTGGACGTCTTGCGTTAATAAATGAGGTATGTACAATCTTATCCAACACTCCCACATGGATGAGGATGAGGATGAGGATGAGGATGAATTGGACATCTAAATTAGCGAATTCAATTCTACAACATTATAACATTAACATAATGTTGTAGACTCTCCATAACGCCTTGCCCGGTTGACGGCCTTTTTACTTTACATATTGAATGCTCCCTCTCATAATTCAAAGGTTAGCGGCTGAAAGTAAAACTAGGCACCATCCCAATTGGCTGTGACGTTTCAGTGTACTATGATTGGTTGGTGACCTAAAACACTGTTTGTTGCCATTTGGCAACAGTTGGCAGTGCCATTTGCAGCTTGAGTCTATACTATAAATCTAGACGACCTCCATAAAGGCTATTTATAGTAAAATAGTTTAGGGTTGGAAGTTGGGGACCATTTTGAGTAGACTTTGTTTAATGAATTTTGAATTATTGTTAAGTATTAGTGGTATTTTGTTGGTTAAATTACATATTTATTTTATTGGTTACATTTCTCTACATTATATGAACCAAATTTATAATTTAACATATTTTTTATTGTAATATTGTACAGACAACTGTTTTTTTTTAGGTTGTTTCCTATTTTGACCCATCCAAAGCCAGCCTCCTTCCAACCGTACCAAAACATGTTATTTTATTAGTTATGTTTCTCGGGGGTAGATTAGGTATTTAAAATTTGAGATTAGGTACTCAGCAAATTTGTTATGTGGATTCCCGATCATATTACATATTTTATACCACATATTATAAACGACAAAAAGTACAAATTAAATATGGAGATATTTTTAATCTTTGAATTTTTTGTAAAAGTAACTATTAATTAACTTTTAGTTTTTATATATTTTTTTTTATTGGGTAACAATTTAATTTATAAACTTTAATATGATATAATTGTCTCTCCATTTTAAAATTTGTAATAATTTAATCCTAAAGTCTCAAAAAATTAGCAATTTGGTCTTACAGTTTACAAACACATCGATCTTTATTCAAATTTTCATTATAGAGATTAAAATTTTAAAATATTGATATTAAATTATTACAAATAAATTATTTATAAAAAAAAATGAATTGTTGGCTATATGTGATATTTATTTATTGATAATGATTTTTGTAATTAAAAAAGAGATTAAATGCTTTAGAGATACATCCACGGTAACTATACGGTAATGGTAATTTCAATAATTCCTTGGCTCGACTAAGATATAAATTATGCTCTTCTTTTTCATACATTTATTTATATTCATAAGGCATGCATTTAAGTCATTTTCGTAAATAATGTATATTATTATTATTACTATCATTATTATTATTATTATTATTATTAAATGAAAGTCAAAATTACAGGTTTAGCATTTTCAATCCTTGCTATGGCGGTTTGAAGGTATTATTTAGATGAACAGTATTTTATAAATATTTATGGCTGAAATATCTCTGTACCTTATTATTTGTAAAACTATATTTTAAGAATATAAAATTGAGAATAATAGTACAAATAATTCTCTCCTCATATTCTCTTGTCACTATATGAAGCATTTCGACAAAAGCTCTACAATTATGAAATAAATATATTTTATATGAAATATATATATATATATTCTTTTTTGTTCATAGCATATTAACTGTAATTAACTTGTATTATATTAATTACTTTTACATATTTCCATAAATAATAAAAATTAATTTAATTACCAAAATAAGCATTGTTGAGGTTTAAATTGATTCAATTAAAATAAAGTTTTATTAGTATTTTTTAATGTATATATTTTTTATATTCTAGTTTAATTTTCAAACGTTTTTATGGCGTAATATAAAATTTAAGCTTCCATGTTATTACCATTTTAATTTGATAGATTTTTGTTTATCAAATTATATAAATTATTTATGACGTAATATAAAATTTAAGGTTGATCGGACTATATATATATATTTTTTTCGAATCATAAAAAATAAATTTGTAATTTAATTTTAAAAGAACAAAAATCCGTAAAATTAAAGGACGTTTATGAAAAAAAAAATAAATAAATAAAAGAAGCCTGGTAAGAAAAGAAGAAATATATACCGGGAAGAGTGTTGAGTTTTAACCTTCTCTGTGGACTACGGTGATACTCTCTGTGAGCTACGAGAGAGGGAGAGGGAGAGAATACGCCATGGGATGGTTTCTCTGTTCTGGAAGTTCAAATAAGAAGGAAAAGAAGCAGCAGGTTCACAAGGAAGACGATCCGATCCCATCAACTTCAGGTAAAAGTTTATGAACATTGTTCAGCAATCTCTCGCTCCCATTTGCTTCAATTGGAGAATCTGCTGTAGTTTTTATGCAAATGTACACTGCGGAGTTTAGCTTCCTCAACTTTTGATTTAGAATCCTTTGGCAATAGCAATGGTCCTGCCATTTTGGGGGATTAACTAGGATTTCGAATGGGGTCTTCTTTGTTTTTTCGAGCTTGTTTTTGTTCAGGAGGTATTGGGGTTTGTTTTCAGCTTGAATTGAGTTAAACAAAGCGGATTTGTTCTTGAGTTTTTTTTTCCCCTGTTGAGCATTGTTGGAGGCTCTTTGAAATGGTTTGAAACTTTAATTTCTCTTAGCAGATTGTTGATGGTTTTTTTTTTTTTTTTTTTTTTTTTTTTTTTTTTTTTTTTTTTTTTT